TTTTTTTTTTGTTTTCATAATTTTTTTTTTTTCCAATTCTCTCTCAGTGTCCTCTCTCTCTCTTTCTCTCGCCCGCTCATCCGCTCTTCGTCTCTCTCCACCCAACCATTCATCGCTCACTCCATCCACCCGTCACACACACTCACTCCTCTCTCCTCTTTCTCCTCTTTCCCTCCCTCCTTCTTCCTCTTCTTTGTTACTCTCTGTGTTATTATTATCGCATCTCCTACCACACCACACCCTCCCATTATACTTCTCTCATTCTACTCAAACTCACCTAGAGTCTTTCGTTTTTTTTTTCCCACAAAAAATTTCCTTTTCCGTTTCTTCTTTTTTTTTCCCTACTGCTACTTCATTGCACCCTTTTTTTATTTCAACTTATTCAACCATTCCCCTTTTTCTGATTGCTGCCTCTCGAGCTTGACTCGTTACAGATACCCATCATGCGTCAGCATTGGGTGCTTCTGCCCCTGCTTGGCGCCCTCGTCGGCGCTGAGCCATACGACGAAGAACACGACTACGATGGCAACCTCGTCAAGAGGCAGACTCCCTCGGCCGCTTCGTCGACAACGGACGGCATCTCCATCTCCCTGACCGCCACCACCACATCAGATGCTTCGACGACGGAAGAGGCAACGGCGACGACCAGCAGCGGCGGCGACGACGACGACGACGAAGACAACACCATCACCATCACCACCACGGTCGGCGGCGACGGCGGCACCAGCCTAAGCACCAAGACGATTGACAAGACGACGACGGTGACCATCGTCCAGACCTCGACCGACTTTGCCACCACCACCGTCACCAGCGAGGATCAGCAGACGGCCACCAGCACCATCTACGAGACGACCACCACCTGGGTCAACAGCAAGAGGGACCTGGGAGGCGACGTCGCCACCAGCACCGCCGCCCCCGCCCAGGTCGACGCCGCTCCTACCGCCACCGTGACGGAGACTGCCCAGATTCTCGAACCCACGCCTGCCGACGACGTCCAGAGGCTGGCCAAGCGCGCCACCGTGACGGAGACGGAGACGGTCACGAGCGACGGCGACGTGTCCTCGGGCGTCACGAGCGTCACCCGCACCCTCACCACCACCACCACCACCCTGACCACGACGACCAAGACGGTCACCGAGACTGAGCAGGCCAATGCCAGTACCACGGTCAAGGTCACCAGCACGCTGACTGTCACGTCGACATCGGTGGCGACGGGCATCACGAGCGCTACGGCCACGTCCAGCTCCGATTCGGATACCAGCAGCGACAGCAGCAGCAGCGGCGGCGGCGATGACGGCAGCTCCGGTCTGTCGACGGGTGGAAAGATCGGCATCGGAATTGGTGTCGGTATCGGTGCCCTCGTCGTCCTCGGTCTCCTGCTCTTCTTCTTCCTCCGCCGCCGTCGTGACCGCGGTCCCAAGCCGGACCACGACGACCTGATTGGTGCCTCGGAGGTTCCCGTCGGTGCCGGCGGCGGCTCCGGCGGTGCTGCTGCCGCCGGTCTCCCCACCCGCCACAACACCCCCATGACGCAGACCGCCTCGGGAGCCGGCACCTCGCCAGAGGGCTACCGCGGCACTGCCATGGGCGACGGCCGAGCCGGATACGCCAAGCCCGACCCCTACGGCGCGACCTTTGCCACCAGGGCCTCCCACCACAGCAAGAGTCCGGTCAGCGCCCTCAGCGGCAGCGGCGGTGCCGATTACCTCCCCGAACACACCTCCCCCTCGGAGATGCACGCCGTCTCCGTCACGGATCCCTCGTCCGGTGTGAGCGAGCTCCCCAACGATGCCAGTCCCGCCCGCTGGCAGAACCCCAACGCCGCCGAGATGGATGCTCAACCTGCCATGTCTCACCAGAGCGGTCCGGTGTTTGAGATGCCGACTGAGAATTACCGATGATCTCTTTTTTTCCTTTCTCTTATTCAGAAATTTCTCTTTCATTCCCGTCTACATGTTCAAGAAAGATGAAACAGAAAAAAAAAAGCTGCATGTTTTTTTTTGTTATTTAAAGACCTTTTGGTTATTCAAAAACACGAGCCCAGCCAGCCCTTGGTCGATGGGGGTGGCAACACAGCGATTTATGCATGGAGAGAGAGATGTATTCGATTCAGATCAGGATTTTTTTTTCTCTTTTTAAAAAAAAACAGAAGATGTAATGTTAGGTCGGGTGTACATATAAGGCCTTTTTGTTTCTTCCCTATGTGTGTGTCCTGTTTTTCTTTTCTTTTTTCTTCTGGTGATTTATTCTGATATATGGTGTTGGCAGAGTTTGGCGGTGTTTAGATGCTGCTTTGCCTGCTATGGCGTACAGAGTCTCGGTATATGAGAAGAGGTCGTTTGAGAAGTCTTCTTAATAGTAGATTGAAGCCTCTGGGTAATAGAAGATTGAATTCAACTTGAACAGTCAAGAGTCTGGTTTTCTCTAGAGTCACTGATGAGGATACGGATGGGGTGCCTTTTCTAAACGTTGACCCCCCCCCCCCCCCTCTTGATGTGTTTGCTAGTCACACTCAGTCCTTGCCGGGTTCACGGTGAGTTTTGTGTGTGTGTATGTGTGTGTGTGTATGTGTGTGTGTGTGCGTGTGCATGTGCGTGTCTTTTCCACTGAAATCTTTCTTCTTCTTTCTTTCTTTTTTTTTTGCTTGATGATACGGATAATACTGTATTCGTAGTAATTCATAACATGTATGACCAGCACCAGTGACATTGTTAGGGATACCGGAGTTAGCGTCCAGATTCTAGTCAGAGCCGACGCCGGATGATGCGCAGAAATGTACAGAGTGCAGATTAGATACATGAGCTGAGGTCATTGTTTGGAAAGATTTCTTCTTCTCCTTCTTTTATTCTGTTTCTCTCCTCCTCTCTTTTTTCATGTATCTACCAATGTACAGTCCTCTTTTATTTTACTTTTTTTTAAATCCTTTCTTACAATTTATTTTTGAGGGGGGGGAGGGAGGGAGGGAGAGTGTTCGGTCTCTCATCTCTCTCGTCCAAAGTCTCCGACTCTGAGTCTTGGAGTCCCTTGCTTATTTGTCTCATATACCTCAGTCGTTTGGTGGGGAGGGAGGGGAAGAAAAAAAAAAAAAAGGAAAACTCGACACCATAGAAGAGGGGAGGGAACAGCAAAACAAACAACGGAAACGAGGCAAAGTCTCTTGGTTCTTCTTTCTTCTTCTCTTCTGCTTTATAAAATATCACATATAACAGGAAAAGGAGAGGAGAGAAGCCAAGAGAGAATAGAGAAGAAGAGGGAAGAGAGGGAATTTGTCAGTATGGGGAGTCAGAATATGTGGTCTGCTGAGAATCCCGATGCGGCTGAATCGGCCAAGCAGGCTGATGAGAAGAAGCTGCTGCGCAAGTTGGATGGACACATCATTCCTCTGGTGATGGCGTTATATCTCTTTTCATTTCTTGATCGGTATGTCTTCTTTGTTCTCGTTTTTCTCTCTCTCTTCTTTTTGAATCTCTCCCTCTCCCCCCCCCCTCCCCCCTCCACCCCTCTCTCTCCTACTCTGAAAAAAAAAAGAAAAAAAAAAAGAGATGCCAACCCAAACCAAGCGTCAACATTGGCAACGCCCGTCTCTACGGACTAGAAGAGGATCTAGGACTATCCCCGTCCCAGTTTCAGGTATCGGTGTCGATCCTGTTCGTGACGTACCTGACGTTCGAGGTGCCGTCGAACCTGGTGCTCAAGCTGCTCACCCCGCGACGGTGGATCGCCTTCATCGCGGTCTCGTGGGGCGTCATCGCGACCTTGACGGGGCTGGTCGAGTCGTACGGGGGGCTGCTGGCGGCCCGCCTGTGCCTGGGCGTCGTCGAGGCCGGCCTCTTCCCCGGCCTGAACGTCTACCTCACGCTCTTCTACACCAGGCACGAGCTCGCCCTGCGCGTCGGCTACCTCTTCGTCAGCGCCGCCGTGGCCGGCGGGCTCGGAGGCCTGCTGGCCTACGGTATAGGGCACATGGACGGCGTCAGCGGCATGGAGGGCTGGCGGTGGATCCTCATCATCGAAGGCCTGCCGTCCGTCCTGCTCGGCGTCGTCTCCTACTTTGCCCTGCCCAACGATGCGCAGTCGGCCTACTTCCTCGACGAGAAGGACAGGACCCTCGTCGAGGCCAGGAGGACGAGGGAGTACGCCGTCACCGACGAGATGTCCTCCAAGGATGTCGGGAGGGCCTTTGGCGATTGGAAGGTCTGGGCTTTCAGTCTGGCTCAGTTTGGTGTCGATACCATGCTCTATGGTGCGTCTCTCCCTCTCCCTCTCCCTCTCCCTCTCTCTCCCCCTCTCTCCCTCTCTCGTGTTCTCCTCCCTCTTGTTCTTCCCTCTCCTTTCTCCCCCTCCCCTAACCGTCTCGACTCTCAGACTCTAACCTCTCCCCTAAAAATAATAAAAGGCTTCTCGACATTCCTACCAACCATCATCGATGGCTTGGGCGACTGGTCCACCGCGGAAGTTCAGCTTCTCACCATACCCTGCTACTTCCTCGGAGCGGCCGCCTACATGGCCACGGCTTTCCTGTCGGATCGTACGCAGCAGCGCGGCCTGTTCTGCGTCCTGTTCGGCGCCATCAGCGTCGTCGGGTACGGGATACTCCTTGCTGACGTGTCTAGCGGGGTGCACTACTTTGCCTGTTTCCTCGTTTCTGGTGGTCTATATGTCGTCGTCGGACTGCCGTTGGCATGGGTATGTCCTCTCTCTCTCTCTCTCTCTCTCTCTCGCCTTACTCTCCCGTCCCTTCTCTGAGATATGAGATGCAGTCTACGGCGTATATATGTGTATGTGAGGGTCCAATACTAACTCGTCCTCTCGGAACCGAAGCTGCCCACAAACTCTCCCCGATACGGAAAGCGTACCACGGCCACCGGATTGCAACTCACTCTGGGAAACGCGTCGGGCGTCATGTCGGCTTTTATATAGTGAGCCTCCCCCGCCCCGCCTCTCTCTCCTCGTCCTCTCCTCTCTCTCTCTCATCCTCTCTCTACAGAGAGAAGTCGATTACTGACCAGGCACCGACAGCCCAGCTTCTGATGCCCCCCGCTACATCCGCGGCCACGCCGTCACCCTCAGCATGGTGGGCTTCGGCTCCGTCGTCTACGCGTACATGTGGTGCTGGTACCGACGGGAAAACGCCAAGAGGGAAGAGGGCACGTCGTCGGCCGTCGAAAAGTATAGGGATCTCACCGAGGCTGAGCTCGTCGAGCTGGGTGACGATAGTCCGCGGTACCGGTACACGGTCTGAGCTGGCACACATGGTACTGGCAGTACGTAATGTACTCCAGGTTGGGTGTTGGGTGCACGAAGTATACACATTGTACGCAAGTGCTGTGATCTAGAGGGAAGAATCTAGGAATCAAGGATGTACCATGCCATCGGATGGTTCAGATGAATACGTAGAGGAGGAGGATACGAGATGCCTCAGGTACGCCAGGCTTGCCAAGAACACCTACAGGGTATTCCGGAAAGCCATACGGAGTACAGATTACATGCATGCATCATGACAACCTACGAGTCAAAGCATTACTCCGTACTCCGTAATCCTCCGTAGGACGCTTGTACATGCCATCCTTCCCATCTTGTGGCCTTGTCGCCTCATATCCATGTAACAGTGACTAAGCCTCAGCTCTCGACGTCATAGGTCCAGCCCACCAAGTAAGTACATCGGCATCGCTCCTTCCTGCTCGCTGTTCTGCCGATCCAAAAGAGTGCGACAGGGAAGGAGCACCCAAGTCCCCTTCTTTCCTTGCTTTTGCCCTGTACAGACAGCTAAGAGCCAGAATCATCTTGACTCCCGCCATTCCGTCATCCACATCCTCCCCCCCCTCCCCCTTTTTTTTTTTTTTTTTCCCTCTCTTTTACATCCTTCACTCTGACCATTGTTGTCACTTTTGCCGGACTCACTGACATACTCGATAACCCACGACACATTCTGTTCAGCTTTGGCCACCCCCGCTTCTCTTTTCCCCAGGCACACGCCGCTTCTTTTTTCTTCTTCTTCACTTTGCGCCGCGCGCCTTGTGATATCACGCCACTGCGTCGCTCGCCGTCTAGTTGCTCTTCTCTTTCTCTCCTTCATCTCCTCTTTCCGTCTTCTCTCACACCTGTTCTTTCTCCTCCCATCTTCTTTTCCGAAAGGAAAGTAACGAAAGAGGAGAGAAACGACAGACGAAAAGAGAGAGAGAGAGAAAGAGAAAGAAAAAAAAAAGACCTACTACCACCACCATGGCGCAAACACACCCCACCCTCATCAATATCCCCCCTCCAGGGTCCAACCCAGACACACCGTCTGAGATGCCGTGCGTTTTCTGTCCTGGCTGCGCGCCCCGATGTCGCATTCTCCCTTGAACCTCCTTTCGGACGTGAGCTCACCTTGACCAGGGGCACCCCGACGAGCACCACCACCTCGCTGAGCGCCCTCTCCACGACGGCCATAAAGGACGGTCACCGAGGCCACTTCCCCCAGGCCGGCCCCCCGGGCCTCGACCACCGCGGTCACCATCACAACCCCTCCACCACCAGTCTCGAGGCCGAGCGCGCCGACCGCATCTCCCGACTCGCCGGGCTCGAACGAGTCTCTACCCTCCGCGCGCCCCCGCAGACCCCGCCCGGCGGCGGTGCAGCCACCAGCAGCGTAGGTGGCGCTGCCGTCTCCTCGCTGTCGCCCCAGACGACGCCCACATCCACCGGTTTCCCACCCAACTACCCGGGTGCTCAGCACCCCGCGACGCCCGCCTACTTCGACAGCAACGGCCAGCCCGTCGCCGTCACCAAGATGAGCACCGTCGGCACCGCCAGCGCCACCGCCAGCGCCACCGAGAGCCACACCGGCGAGGAGGTCGACGACGACAGGACCACGGCCGGCGACGTCGACGAGGATGTGCTCAGCACCGACACCAACTACCGCGACGCCGGCTCCGTCACCAGCACCGGTGCTGACCAGGACGCCATGAACGAAGACATGGACCGTATGGGTCCCGGCGCCGACGACGACCACATGAGCGACGGCTCCGCCTCCCTGGTCGGTTTCGGCGAGGGCGCCGGTAGCACCGTCTCCGGGCCCATCTATCACCGCCGATCGACGCTGGGATCTGCCTCGGCCGCACAGCAGATGTGGGGAGGTCTGGAGAGGACCAACTCTGGTCTGAGCGACACACGTCGCGAGCGTGACCGCGACGCCGGCGGCAGCGACACGCCCATAATGTCGGCGGCGGCGGCGGCGGCAGCGATGCAGGAACGTCGCGACGCCCGCATGATGGACGGCGTGTCTGCCGACCAGGCGAGGCCATACTCGCCGGGGACGCAGCAGGACTCCTTTGTGGACACAACCTCGCGCGGCCCCGTTCCCGTGTCTAGCCCCGGTTCCGTCTCGTAGTCTCAATCTCAGACCCAGGGTCGCGGGACGGCCGAGAACAATGTCCAAAGACTGGACAGGGGTGAGGCGCGTAGCCGGGGAGGGAGAGTCAATAATCACTTGGGGGGATTTCTATTTCGAGGGTGAGAAGAGTAAAGAGTGGTTACTCTCTCTCTCCTTGTCTTTTTCACTTTCATGATTCTGTTCCGTCTTGAGTTTTATACTATTTCTTCCTTCTCTTTTTCCCTCTTCTCTTTGTCCGATTCTGTACTTGCAGCTGCGCTGGTTCTACGTCTCATGATGCTTTGTGTGTACGATTCGAGACGGGCTGTTCTTGCTAGTCAAATGTGTGACACGAGTCCGGTAGCTGTGGTGGTTTTTTTTTGTCTATTGAAACATGTTTGTCTTTGGTAATCATAGCAGGGTCTTGGGGTACTCTGTGTAATGCTTCCATAGGTCTTTATGGAAAAATCACACAAAGACCCAAGACTCAAGACGCAAGGAGATGGCATGCTATCAACCAAGAATGATGTGGAATATAAACAAAGTGAACAAGTTGAGAAAGAAGAAAAAAAACACCCTCTATGCTCCATTCTGTCTACATTGTAGATGCTGTATTGTTGTGCCAAGTGCACCAAGCACTGGTGCCAAGGTATTCTCAAAAATCAAGGACGAATAAAGAAGAAAAGAGAAGAACAAAAAAGAATGAAAAAAAAAAAAAGATTCAAAAAAACAAATCCAAAAAAAAAAGATCCACCGGGCCTAATATTCCCCCTATTTTTTTTTCCTTTTCCTCCCAACATGAATCCACGTCCAATGCGAAAATAAGGAAGAAGAATGAGTAGAAGAGAGAGAGAGAGAGAGAGAGAGAGAGAGAGAGGGAAAAAAAAGAAAAAACTTTCGTTATCCTCGAAGTGAAAAAAAAACAAGAAAAAGAAGAAGAGGGAAAAAAAAACATGACAACCCCTCGGAATTCATGTCGCGGGTATATTTTGATTGTTTTTCGTGAGTTGTGTGAGTTTTGTATGTGTATGTTTTGGAGGATCCAAGAGGGTCTGAAAACCCAAACATGACATTTGGGGGAGGGGGGTCAACAAACATGTGAATAGGAATGAGGAATGATGATATGATGGGCGGTTATTATGATGTGACAGTAAGAGAAGAAGAAACCCCTCCCCCCATGACTGAAAATATTCTTCAGGCACAAGGGACGTCAACACCTATATTCTTAGCAATGGCCTGCCAATCCCAGACGGCCAGCCAGTCTCCCTCGTCCATGAGGGCCCAGACCTGCTCTAGCAATTCCAGGACGCGGTCGCAGTTGCGCAGGCCGGTGTAGCCCCTCACGGCCCGGATCGACTTGCGCACCCTCTCACGGCGGTCGAGGTCGAAGCAGGCTATGCCCACCACCATGCAGGGGATGAGGAGGAGCGTCTGGGCCGGATCGGACGGGCTGAAAGACTCCAGTATCCCCAGGGACTCGTCCAGCGCGCTCACCAGGCGAGGGTCGTCCAGGGCCGGACGTCGCTTGGTGGGCTGCGGGGAGCGGCGCGGAGGGTTCAGCCTGCCCGGCACTCCGAATGCTGCCGCCGCCGCTGTTGCCGATGCTGTTGCCGATGCTGCTGCCGATGCTGCTGCCGCTGCTGCTACTGCTGATGATGATGATGATGTTGATGCCGATGCCGAGCCTAGACCCTGCGGTGGCGGCGGTGGCGGCTGGGGTACGTCGCCCTCGTGCATCGAGTTGTTCCTCGACGGGTTGCACGACGAGGGACTGCTCATGGGAACCACGTAGTTGGGTACGCCACCGCGTGGTGGCGGGATGCCGAACCCGCCCGTCGGCGTCGAGGCCGACGACAGGATGCCTGCCGCCATCGAGGCCCTGCGTTGCGGCGGCGTCGACGACGACGACGACGACGACGTCATGGACGAGACCGAGACGCCGCTAAAGGTGGAGCGGGATCGGGGCGTGGACGAGGGCGGATATACGGTGCGGAATAGGTATATGAACATCATCTGCTTGTACAGCAGCCCCACGCGGTTGCGGCCGTCGCCCGGAGGCCAGTTGGGGACCCATTCGCGTATGGCATTGTTGATCTCGGCGGCGCGGAACAGCATGACGTAGTCGACCGGCGGGTCGCTCGACGCCAGCATGTTCTCCCGGATCGTCGTCCGGAGACAGGTGATGAGGGCCATGTAGTGCAGGAGGCCGTCGGCGACGCCGAGCAGGCGCGGCGTCGGGATGGGCGCCGACGGCTCCCAGAAGCCGTTCGTCAGGCGCTCGACGCTGGTGTCGGGGTGCCACATCATGTCGTCGGCGTAGATGTGGTACTGGAAGAATTCGGTGATGAAGGCGAAGAAGGTGGGATCCAGCGGCGGGCAGCCGTCGATGAGGGTCTGGTAGGCCTTGAGGTGGAGGCGGTGTTCGCCGCTGGCGTTGCCCTCGGCCCGGGTCTGGAGGAACCTGCACAGGATCTGGCCGTACCTGGCCGACAGCGTCGTCTGGTACTCCTCCGTCTGGTAGAGCGGGTCCGTCTTGTCGACCGAGTTGGCGTTGTCCTCGTAGAAGCGCTTCATGGCCTCGTCGTGGTGGTGCGCCGACCTCTCCTCCAGGGCCTGGCGGTTCGTCGTCGGGTTCTCCTGCAGGACCTTGACGCCGTACGGCGCGTCGAAGTCGATGTGCCTGCTGCTGACCGACAGGATCGAGTGCATCAGTCCCTGGTGCTGGTTAGCCAGGTGCAGGATGATGTCCTTGAAGGCGTTCTTGGCCTCTCCCTCGACGGTGAGCACGTTGCTAAAGTTGTTGACGTAGTGCTTCCAGAAGATCTGGTCTTCGACCGTCTCTACCCCGTGGAAGAGGGGAGGTAGGCTTATGCTGGTGACCGTCTCTACTCTCAGGCGATCTGGCCGGTGTGTCAGTAACCTCCCCCCCTTACTCATCTGCCGTCCTCTCGAGGAAAGTGTGGGCTGTTGGCTTACCATCCTGAGCCCTTTCCTTGCCGCTCTTCCATATCTGCTTCTCATGGTAGCCCTCGCAGACGACGGCATTCTTTTCACAGTTCATGCCTGCATTCCAGAAATGTCAATACAGAGAGCTTCCCTCCTTCTCACCGCCCCGTCACCCTCATATGAAGGCACGTGAACTTGGCGTGTATCCCGTGAAGAGGGGGGTGGTGACGTGACTTACACCGTGGCTTGGCCTCGTCGCACTTCTTCTTGCGCTTCCTGCAGGTGATGCATCCCGTCTTTGACCGACCCTTGGTGACCTTGTTGGCATTGACGGTGGGGGTGAGGGGATGCTTCCTTGGACGGCCCCTAGGTCGCTTCTGCTTGGTCTGCTGCTGCTGCTGTTGCTGCTGCTGCTGGTGCTGCTGCTGCTGCTGCTGCTGCTGACCGTTGACGGTGGGTAATGGTTCGATGGGGGTTGTAGGTGCGGTGGGGGCTGATTTGAGATCGTCAAAGTCGACGTCGTCCTCTGTGGGCTCTAGCTTGGTGACGGCCAGGCCGTCATCCGAACTCTGCTCCCAGCGAATATCATTGTCGGCATCGTCCTGGTCAATGTTGCCCCACGACTCCTCGCAGGACGACGAGGTCGAGTTGGCCATGGTCGGGGCCACGGAGCCGTCCACGGGGGTCTCTAGAGGGCTCACGGGCGACATCTGTCCGCTGGTGTTGCCCTGGATACCCTGCATATGAGTGGTGTTGATGGTAGTAGTGGTAGGAGGAGGAGGGGGGAGAGGGAGAGGGAGAGGGAGAGGAAGATGCTGTTGCTGCATCGGATGTGGTGGTCCGGGGATCCACGGAGCGTCGGACATAGGTATGGCGGCGGCGGCCTGTACCTGTGCGGTCGTCATTGTGATATCGTCAAGTCCTCCCTCGACGGGAGGCAGGGCCTGGTCATCGGACCACGTCAAGCCTTGCATCGTCGACATGGTTGCTGTCGTTGGTGGCGCACGGTGCATTGCGCGACCGTGAAAGCCAACATAACCTGATCAAGGGCCAGAAACGAGCCCCGGACGTTCTCTCACCACCACCAATCCTCTGTATGGCGTGAGGCGTGTATCGTCGACGGGGAACGGCGGGGGAGGGGAACTTTTGTTATCTTTTAGTTCGAGGGATACCGAATGCGGTCGGCGGCGGGCGGAGGGGGGGCGAGGGGCGGTAGAGGAGCCACAGCAGTTGAGTCTATCTGGGCTCGTCGTCGAACGGGCTCGAGACGGTGTTTCGGAATCTATTCTTCCTCGAGTCGGGGGTAGAAGGTCAACGCCGGTCTCCGTTCCTTCGTCGTCAAACGCACCAGGCGATGGACAATGTGAGAGAGAGAGGGAGTGTGTGTGTGTGTGTATTCGAGAAGGAGATGTCGAGAGGGAGAGGGAGAGAGAGAGATTCTACCGCGGTCGGGACAGTTCCAGTCGAGGTGATGCAAGGTTGGTTGTCCGGGTTTTGCTTTCCGTCCGCTGGCTGTGACGGAGGGAGAAGTTGTTGGATCGCTCGGTAGGAGGGGCACCGCACCTTGTAGGTGTGGGGAGCGCAGCGTCTTATTATTTGTCGGTGGCCAACTGGTACTTTACGTGTACAATATCCGAGGTAGGCGAAGCGACTGTGGAGAGTAGCTGCACGTACTCTTGGTATTCGTGTCCCGTATGGATTAGGCGCGAGTATCATCGCGCAGGTACTCATCATGTACTCGCACAGGGCGTCGTGGTAATGCACGGGAGAGGTACTCATATGTACTCTGCACCACCTAAGCAGACAGGCATGGGGGCCATGGCCACCCCCCCCCCCCCCCCCGTACTCTCTCGAGTACGCCCGAGTCGTACTCGTACGTCGTCGTACGTCGTCGTATTCTCGTCGTACTCTGTCTTGTACCATGACTGTTCCCGGTTTATTAGCCACAACTGTACCGCACACAGCAGATGAAGGCCCAGGCGTCTCCATACCAGAAATGGCTTGGGTTCGATGGGGAAGAGCGGGAGCAATATTGACAATAAAATACTCAGGACTGTTGCATGTATATAATTCAGGACCCCATTGCTCGTCGCAAGTCGTCATCGTTGGTCATCCATCACAGCGTTTCTCTCTCTCTCTCTCTCTCACTCTTGTTGGAATTCTTAGTAACAGCCGAGGACGGGCGAGCGAGAGAGAGAGCGAGAGAGTCTCATCAAAAGAGTCCACCTGGCTTTCTGCACGTTGGTAGACCGGAATTGGACCACCGGACACGGGTTGTACTCGTATGGGCATGGCATGTCGTGACGGCAACACAATCTGAACTGACCCTGTACTCGTGGTCCAACGAAGCGAATGCCGACTCTTCTTCTTCTTCCTCTTGGTCCCCCCCTCCTCCGCACGTTTCCTACAGTTGAATCCGTCCATGGTGATGATGGTAGGTGAAACTGACACGCAGGACACGCAACATGGGGTTTGAGTATCTGACCAGGGAGATCCGATGGCCCTAGGCCCCCAGGTCCAAGGCCACCCCTCCCTCCCCAGTCCCCCCCTCCACCTCAGACTTCGAACTTTGAAGCGACCGTCTATGTTGATGGATGTCGGTGCCGTCGACTTTTTTTTTTTTTTTTTCCTTTGGGTTATTATCTTATCTTTCTTTTCTTCCCCTGAGACTCCCGTCAGCACAGGAATCATTACGAATTGCTCCGCATCCGTACATGGTCGTTCGTAGTCGTGCATACGCGCATGCATACGAGTACTAACTAGTATGTTCTCTGTTAGCATAATACTACATGTACGGAATTAGCAGCAGCAGCAGCAGCAGCAGCAGCAGCGGTGGTGGTAGTGGTGATAAGTAGTCGTAGTCGTAGTCGTAGTCGTACGGGTTGTGATACTCGTAATGATGATACTTTCTCTTCTCACCTTTGTATCCCAGCAGAAAGTCCCGATAAGGATGACAAAGTCCCAGCAGAGGACCCGAGGCGGCGTTTGAGAGTCCTTGCACTTCACAGGCTTCACTCACAGGTACACACACACGCTCTCTCTCTCTCTCTCTCT